GCTGTGACGGGAAGCATCAGAAACACACCAACCATATGACTGGTATTATGAAGTATATTATGCTAAGGCTCAGGAAACAACTTCCTTAGAAAGCACAAGGGCGTCTAACAGACCACCTGCCTTCTTGGAGGCTCGGCTCGGCCCCCTCGCGCCACCCCTTCTGCGAGCCGCCGAGATGGAGTCTTTGATGCCAGTGAAGAGCTCGGACGCGTGACTTCCCAGGACAGTGCCAGCAGCTCCCACGGACGCGAGGACTGCCATGCCAGCTCCCTAAACTCGCCACCAATGTATTTCACTTCTGCTGGCGGTTTCGATTCTCAAATCTGCTTCTCGGGCTTGAGCCTCGTGATGCCGAGGATTGCGATGCCGATTGTGCCGATGAAAGTGCCGAAGCAAGTGCCGATGCGAACGCCGATGGCACTAACGCGGGTAAGTACTGATGCCCCTCCTCCTCCTCCTTCTCCTCCTCCTCCTCCTCCTTCTCCTCCTTCTCCTCCTCCTCCTCCTTCTCCTCCTTCTCCTCCTTCTTCTCCTTCTCCTCCTCCTCCTCCTCCTCCGCCTCCCTCCTCCTCCTCCTCCCCATCCTCCTCCTCCTCCTTCTCCTCCTTCTCCTGTCGGCGGGCCCCGCCTGGGGCATGGAACCTCAGAGGGGGGGAACAACAAGTTCTCCTCGGACGGGCGCCCCCCTCTCATTTCCCTTCCCTGCCCCCCCTGGCTCTTTCCCCCTCCTCCTCCTCCTCCTCCTCCTCCTCCTCCTCCTCCTCCTCCTCCTCCTCCTCCTGCTCCTCCTCCTGCGGCGCGAGACGCGCATCCGCCCGCGGCGCGCCGCTGCGCAGGGAGGAGGAGGAGGAGGAGGAGGAGGATGAGGAGGAGGAGGACAAGTGTAAACCCAAGCCTCGTCAACGACATTGCAACAAACCCTCCCTCCAAGTTCAATGTTCGTAGGCCAAGCGCCCAAGCAAGAAGACCGTTCAACAATTTGGAACTGTGCCAGAACACCATTCCCGCGACTTCAACGCCGCGAATCACCAATCCTGTTGGGCCTTGACGATCTTGAACCGTGCCCGAACACCATTCCTGGGACTTCAGCACCGCGAACCAACGTGACTCTTGCACCCTGACATTCCGACACGCCCAAACACCATTTCTGGGATTTTAACAATGAGAGTCCTTGAAACTGCTGGAACCTCTTAAGACGAATGTGCGCGGCACTAAACGCGAGAACCACAGTTTCAAAAAGGACCGCCCTACATCCGTGAAGCTCTTGAAAACTCTACAATAAGATGTGCGCGGCGCCGATGCCAAAACAACATGTTCAAAACGACCCGCCCTCCATCCGTGAAGCTCTTGCTAACTTTTCAAACGAATGTGCACGACGTCATAGCGATAACCATATTTTGAAAACGACCAACTCTCCATCCGTGAAACTGTTGCATGTGTGAAGCTTCAACATGGAAAATGATGAGGATATCTCCGGCGAAACGCCCAGTCCGCCCTAAAAGATGTCCTCGGGATGCGACAGGGACAAGTTGCTTATGAAGAAGCGGGATGGAGGAGTTTTTTTTTTACTGGGGTGTAGCCCACAGGTGCAGTGCCGCAGCTGGGGGCTTCGCGGAGCGAAAGCAATACCCGCGGGCACCGCCGCGACGCAGCGTGCTCCAAGCAGGCGGTGCCTCTCGGTCAAAGTGGCCACTCGGCATGCAGGACGACCGCCTCGCCAATCGGGGAAGACCTCCAACCCCCCGAATGTTACGTCCAGGGCGAAGCTTCCAAACGGACTCGGGGCCTTCGGCCCCGAACCGAGAGGCAACTTCGCCCCAGTTCGCGGGCGGTTTCCGCTCCAGAGGTGGTCCAAGCGGGCACGTGTCGACGAGCCGCGCTCGCAGTGCCCCCTGCAATCCACCGCCAGGAGCTGGGTATTATCGCACGAGTGTGCTCCACACGAGCTGCAGAAGGTGAACTGGCCAACGCACCACAGCCGGTGGCCTACGGCAGGCCGGCACGGGGCCTGCCTGAGCGACTTGGCCACCTTGGCCACGCGCAGACGACGACGAGGAGAAAAATGAGGAGGACGAGGAGGAGGAGGAGGAGGTGGGAGGAGGAGGAGGAGGAGGAAGAGGAGGAGGAGGATGGATGGGACGGCGTTCGCCTCTTGGGATGCCTTCGGGGCCTCATGGAGCTCTCTTGGAACGTCTTCGGGGCTTCCTGGCCATTCCTGAGGCTATCTATACGCGTCTTGGAGCGCTCGCGGGCCGTCTTCGGCGGTCTCGAACTGTTCCTGGCGGTCCCAGGGGCCCTCCGGGACGCTTCGGACGCTCCCAGGGGCGCCCTGCACCCCCCATGGAGATTACAGGCACCGCCCCGGGCCGCCCCCGGGCCCGCTCCGATATATATATATATATATATTATATATATATATATATATATATATAGATATATTATATATATATATATATATATATACAAGACTGCATTGGCGCTTCGCGCCATGCACCTTGGTTCTTGAAGCTCGGCATGCAGGAGAGCCAAATATAGCGATGATTCATTGTTCCGTTTGCGCCATCGTCGTTATAGTAATGTTATGTACTATCCTTATACTTCCTCTCCTCTTACTCGTAATCTTCCTTGTCTGCGAGCCACTCCTTGTCCTCATCCCCAGTTTTTATTGCAGGGGCTCCTCTTTGGAGGTGTTCTTGGGCCCCTCTCAAAAGCTTTTTGGGGACCTCTGGGGGCCTCCTGGGCGCCTTTTGGGGGCCTCTGGGGGCTTCTTGCGGCCACCTTGCTACCAACCACGGTCTCCCTGAACGACCGGGTCACGATTTGGAGTGCTTCGGGAGGCGTCTTGGGGCCATCTGGGGCTGTCAGCGGGGCTCTCTTGGGGCCATCTTGCGGCCCTGTTGGACCATATTGGAGCTCTTTTGGACTGTCTGGAAGCCCTTTGACACCGTTGTGGGAGGATTTTTGGGGCCTCTTCGGCGGACTCGGACGCACGGAATACCGAAGAACCGAATGTCCAAAAATTCAATAAAAAACTAAAGGAAAGTGTTGTTTTTTGCACTTGGAGGACCTCTTGGGGGTCTTCTTTGGGTCGTCTTCGGGCGTCTTGGGGCTGTCTGGGGCCGCGTGGGGCTCTCGCGGGGCCGTTTGGCCGCCCTCCTGACCGCTTTGGGCCCGCTGGCAAGGCCCGGCAGGGGCGTCCAGGAGGCCCGGAAGGCCTGGGGGACCCATTGCAAGGCGTCCAGGGGGCCCCAAAAGCGCCAGATTCCGGGGGTCCGATTTTCCGGGAGGGGGGGGGGGGGTCCCACCCCCCCGGATTGTAAAAATATAAAGAAGGGTATATATATATGGAAACATACGTAAGACATGTAGGATTGTGTACACAGGAGAAGGACAAGCTATAGAAACATACGTACGTCGTCCAAGGCGCCTCGGAAGGCGTCTCGGAAGGCGCAGAATACTCCTCCAAGGCGCGGAATCATGTTCCCGGACCGCCTTCCGGGAACATGATGGGGACGACCTCCTGAGGGCCTCCCGTGGGCCTCTTGGGGGCCTCTCGGAGGCCTGTGGGGCTCTCCTGGAGGCGTCTTGGGGCGCGCTCAGGGCCATTTTTGGGCATCTTGGGGGCCTCTCGGGGGCCTCCGGAGAGGCTCTTGGGGGCCTCTTTGGGGCCTCTTGGGGCCTCGCGGGGCTCTCTTGGGGCCCGCTGGGCTCGCTTATGCAGTCTTGAAGCCCTGTCGGGGCTCTCCTGGGCCGTCTTGGGACGATTTTGGGGGTCTCTTGGGCCGTCTTGGGGCGGTCTTGGGGGCCTCTTCGGCCGTCTTGGAGCGTTTTTTTTTTTTTTTTTTTTTTTTTTTTTTTTTTTTTTTTTTTTTTTTTTTTTTTTTTTTTTTTTGTTGTTTTTCCTCAACGCAAGTGCTATCAAGTTGCTTATACCCTATCGCTCAGCCAGGATCACGTTTGGATTGTGATCAATAAATAGAAAGTTGACACTCACGCCTGCACCAGACCGCCTGGCAAGTCCCAGGCGCCAGCGCATGGTGCAACTCTAAAAAAAGGTCGCCCACATCGAGAAATAAACAATACGCATTCTTGCGCAGGGCCGTCTGGCAAGCATAGCGGAAAGCAAAATCAATGCGGGCAAAAGTAGGAATCAGATTCGCGCATGGCTTGTCTTTGCTCTGCCGTTGCAGGGAAAGCCGACGAATACAAATATTGAATGCGCATGCGCCCTCTCCTCACACAACCTTCGGGCTTCTGCCTGCCCACCCGAACGCCGCTGTTTTCGGCGGTGGGCCTCGCGGTCGCGAAGAAGGAGGAGGGACAGGAGGGCGAGGACGACCCAGACGTCGGACGTCGCCTCTGCTGCGCAGCGTGGCCCAATTCGAAATCGGCAAGAGCCGTCAAAGAGGACACGATCTGCTCCGCGACGCGAGGGCGTCGGGGGCAGGAGAGGCGCAGGGCGCGCGCCTTCCTTGGGCGGACCCGGGGACGGTCCAGGACTGCGCCACGGCACATTGGCGTCGCGGCCCGAGGATGCGCTGCCAGCAAGGGCTGCACGAACTGCTCCACGAAGGCCGTCTTGGAGCGGTCTTGGGGGACTCTTGGACGGCCTATACATATATATATATATGTATATATATACATTTACATACACACACACACATATATATATATATATATATATATATATAGGAAAGAAATTGAAATACGTGGAAGGAAGTGGCACGACTCGGGAGGGCTTGGGGGAGGGGTATACATATATATACATATACAAATACACACACACATATATATATATATAGATATATACATACAGACACACACACATATATCTATATATATATAGATGTGGAACCATACGTGAGACATGTAGGATTGTGTACACAGGAGAAGGACAATCTATAGAAACATACGTACGTTGTCCAAGGCGCCTCGGAAGGCGCTTCGGAAAGCGCAGAATACTCCTCCAAGGCGCGGAATCATGTTCCCGGACCGCCTTCCGGGAACATGATGGGGACGACCTCCTAAGGGCCTCCAGTGGGCCTCTTGGGGGCCTCTCGGAGGCCTGTTGGGCTCTCCTGGAGGCGTCTTGGGGCGCGTATATATATATATATATATATATATATATGGTTATATATATCTTATGTATATATATATATATATATATATATAGGGAAGAATTGAAATACGTGGAAGGAAGTGGCACGACTCGGGAGGGCTTGGGGGAGGGGTATATATATATATATATATACATATATAATATATATATATATATATATATATATATATATATATATATTATATATATATATATATATATAATATATATATATATATATATATA